CCCCAAAACCCCAAAACCCCAAAACCCCAAAACCCCTTTTGGAAAGAAAATAATTGACTTCCACGTATTTTCAATGCTACAAGTCATCATTGATTTTTCTCTTCTTCTTATTTTTCTTTTTCTTCCCTCCCTTAGATTTCTTTTTCCTTGTTGGCTTATCGATATGAACAAGATCTTCAAATGCATCGTCAGTTTCAAACACAGTGTTCTCTGAAATATCGCCGATGCTTTCCATTAGTTCATACCAAACCCTCATATTCCTAGGTTGTTCTTCATTAAACAGAAGTCTTCTCCATCTCTGGTTGCCTTCTGCTTTAGTCAAATTGAGATAGAGCCTTCCTCCAGATTGGAACTCAGAGTAGTTTCCTGAAATTTTCATATAGAGTTCATGGTTCATGTAGAACCTCACAATCTCATCTCGCTTCCTACACATACAAGTAATGGTAATGTTGGTCTCCGTAATAGTTACATTCTGGTCGTACAAATCAATACAAGCAGGGGAATCCATTCTATGGGCAAACTTGACTAACAGAGCAACTGAGTTCATATCCTGAGCCCACTGAAAAGCAGGCCCAATGGTGACAATATTCCTCTTTTCACTTGCTAGATTGATAACAGAGTCTTGTCTTTCCCTGACCTTTGAGATATATCTCTTTAAGGCTGGAACTGCATCATAGTCATTGTCTTCATTAAAAACATTGTTAACAAGGTACTCAATCGAGGAATAGAAGTTCTTATTGACCAGGATTTGGAGACAGGACTCACTAAAGTCTTTATTCAATTCGAAAGCATCAGTAACTTCCTTGAGTGCTTGCTTCTCTTCAACAATTCCTTCTAGAATAGCACAATCGTAGAAGTCTTTATCGCAGAGAACACTTATAAGCATTGTGCTCAATACAAAGATGTAGCTGCTAATACTTTTCCACATCTTTCTACTATTTATATCAATTTTGCTAGAAAAAGAGGGGTTTTGGGGTTTTGGGGTTTTGGGGTTTTGGGGTTTTGGGG